GACATTTTTTTCTTTGGCCTAGGCTTATTTGCTTTTTTCGCATTTTGACATCAGGGGAAGTTGATCGCAGCTGTCTACGCGTCTCGAGTAGACACTTGAGTATTCTAGACCTTCGTATTAAGAAAATGACCGTCACATCTACCAAAAGCAGTAATAAGTTGGTTGTGCACACAGCCCACTGCAGCAATCATTGCTTTGCCCATTGAGGCTCTTGACCTCACCGTCAACAACCCTTTCGTCTTCTGCTACGATGTTGACATAGTGAATGTGACGGAGCGTTCACGACCGAATAGGCGTGGCTATAAACCCCTCATTTCCTATTTTCCCCGTTTCGTCTCCGCCCCCTCATTCACCTCTGAATTTTCGCATCACCTATTATAGCGCGAACACTCGTCTCCTGACCGCATGACCTCGAAACGATTTCACTTCCTATTGTTGAAGGGGTGTAATTTAATCGGCGAGGAAATCTTCCGTGTAGTCATGGTTTCTATTTCAGTTGGACGGCTTATCAAAATCATGTAGCGCTTACAACAACATTTTTAGTGTAAGATTGCGTAATATGAATTTTTCGGATATCACTGCTTATCGCGCACCAGGTGCAACTCCACACTACACACGAGCTCTAAAAATCGCGAACTTAGTTTGGTTAATGGCAAGTCCGCATTCACTTTACTTCCTTTGACCAATCAAATTCGTGGTTTTCTTTTTTTCTTGAACTGTACGGTTTGCAATATATGCAATATGAGGGCACGTTACTTATCCACTACTTCATACTCTTGATCTCCTGACTATACTTGGCTTTGGATGTTCTGCAATAGTAACATCATAGTTTACCTAACCAGTCGGAATATCGACCAGGAGCAGCCCTTTTCAAAATAATCATCCTTTGAGAGAGACCTATAATCGAGATCCTATGCTCCACGAACTTCGCAATTTACCATATTTGAACATAATTTGTCTCGAAGTCACTTTTATGAAACTATTTACAAGCTTTCTAGAGCTTAATTTGTTTCCACGAAATTTACTGCAAAAGACTAATCGAAACCTATCTCGATGCCACTACAGTTTCAATTGTTTCTTTATGCATACCGTATCTCCTATCTACCTAGAGCCGATAAAACCACTCACCCTACGTTGTATTCGGGGTTTAGCATAATAATTTGACCTTAATTTGGACATTAACACTTACTTCTTATTATCTTCGAAGATGATTCAACGATTACCCCAAGTTCATTCTTTCTGCATAGCATTTGTTTCGGAATTTCTGCACAAATTATCAGTTTTTTTACAATTGTACTAGTACCTCTAAGAATCTATCAGTAGAAGCTCATTCATACTTACACCTACATTCCTTATTTCCTGGCGCGGACATAGACGCAGAATGACTAAGCATATTGGGATGATTTGTAATTATGCATTAGACTAAAGATTTTTGAAAATATGATTTTTTTTCCGCTTTTTCATGCTTTTTGCTATCCTGCTGCTTTTCCGTAATCTCAACGGTTTAATTATCAGTACTTAATAAAATTTCTTACAATTCATTTCCTCAAGGAGAGACGCGGCGACGTCAATCTAGACGTACCAATTCTGATCCTATAAATAATCGTACTATTCAATAGAATTTATTGCGATAATAGTGGAAGCTATATTTGTCCTAAACCTGTCCTTGATGCATTTGTGGATTTGCGAAGAAAGTTCGCACAAATATTTTCAAGTGCGTTCGTCTCGTCTTAGACTTAGGTCGTGAGATAATTGCAGCTAAACGCACGCGAAAAATCTGAGAAGTATTGCGAAGGTTCTGTCAACGTCACTCTTTACTAACAAAGGCAGGCACTCGCAATATTGCAGAAAATTAATGCGAAGAGGCTTATTTACAAATTGCTGCTATGATACATCGAAAGGAGGACAGTATAGTCGATAGCTAAGCGAAATAGAGCTTATCGTGCATGTGGCGTAACTGCAGAATAACTTAAATCCAAGGTTTTCAGGGCTAGTGGCTTACATGGGCGGGGCAAACTCATTGGATCTTTTGGCCGATAAATCGCCTTTTGTCTTGGAAATGATATGTGATCTGTATTTACGTAATATGCACTATAAATGCACAATGTGATTTACGATTCTTATCCGC